ATTCTTCTGCTAGTTGGGGTTTAGTCCAAATCTGCATCCTTTCCTTCAAGGCTCAGGGGTCCAAGATTATCTTCTGTGTCTGTATTTATTGGTTTCCCTTTTCTTTGTTGAAGAGGGTCTGTGCAATCCTTCTGCCTAGTCCGCCATCTTGCCCCCCCCCCAGCATTTTTTTGTCTCTATGAATTTGCCTATTATAATATTTGTCCTTTTATGTCTAGATTATTTCACTTTGCATAATATCTTCAAGATCCACCCATATTGTAGCATATATGAGAACATCATTCCTGGTTGATTAAATACAACAACACCACAAAGCAAATAACTTCGTTCCTTTTGGCTGTAATATTATTCCATTGCATAGCTATATCACGTTTTGTTTATCTGTTTATCTGTTGAGGGATATTTGGATTGTTTCCATCTGTCGGTTATTGTGAATAATGCTACAGTGAATACTGGTGTACAAGTGTCTCTTTGAGGCGCTGCTTTCAATTCTTTTGGATGTGTACCTAAGAGTAGAATTGCTGGGTCATAAGGTAATACCAGTTTTAACTTTTTAAGGAACTGCCAAACTGTTTTCCACAGTGACTGACTGCATGCACCATTTTACATTCTCATGAAGTGCATGAGAGTTTCAGTTTCTCCACATCCTTACCAACAACACTTGTAATTTCCTGTTTTTTCTAATGATAGCCATTCCTCCTCATAGATGTGAAGTGGTATCTCATTGTGGTTTTGACTTGTATTTTCCTAATGAAGTTGACCATCTTTTCATGTATTTATTGGCAATTTATAAATCTTCTTTGAAGAAATGTCTATTCCTGTCCTTGCCCATTTTTCATATTGGCCATTTTTCATATGGGTTGTTTTTTGCTTTGTTTTGTTTTAGTTGTAGTTCTTTATCTATTCTGGGTATTAAACTCTTATCAGATATGTAATTACCAAATGTTTTCTCTCTTTCTATAGGGTATCTCACTTAAAGAGGGTGCTATTCAGTTTTCATATATTTGTTCTTTTTCCATTGACCTTCCTTTTGTTGAGTTCTAATTTTATACCACTATTATCTGAAAAGATGCTTTGCAGTATTTCAGTGGTTTTAAATTTATTGAGGCTTTCTTTGTGGCCTAACATATGGTCTATCCTGGAGATGTTAATGTATGTAAAATTTATGTTAGTGTAAGAAATCTGAAATGTGAGCCTCCTTTTAGGATGGAATTTTTTTTTTTTCTTTTAGAGACAAACTCTGAAATTAATCACTTTGACTTATAAGAATCCTTGTTTAAGTGAACAACAACAACAAAACCCTAATTAGTTGCCATCAAGTTGATTCTGCCTCATGACAAGCCCATGTGTGTCAAGCACAACTGTGCTCCACAGGGTTTTGTATGGCTGATTTTTTGGAAGTAGATCACCAGGCCTTTCTTCTGAGGTGCCTCTAGATGAACAAACCTCCAACCATTCAGTTAGCAGCCAGGTAACCATTTTCACTGCCCAGGAACTCCATTTCTTTAGGCTCCATGTAGTAAAGCCTTGATCTTTGTTGATAAGAGAAGATGAAAGAGATAGAATAGTTAGAACCCAGAGAACTAACTAAACCACCTATTGGCTAACCAAATTGAGTCAAGTTTTCAAGTAAGACTAAATCTGGATTTGTAATCTTCTTCTTCATGAGCCCCAGATGTCCTCTGGTTTTCCTCCCATTTATTATGAAGAATCAAGCACTCTCTTATTGCCAAATTGAATTTTATGCATATAAAATGAAAAACTTAATTTGTAAAGAATCTTAAAACATGCTTTAGATAGTTATGAAAAGACAAAAAGAATATCTCTATGTTATTCCTGATTACTTACCAGTTGTACTTGTTATTCATTTAAGATGTATCTGAGCTTACAATAGTTTCTTTGGGCCTTTCACTCATAAAGCTCAGGCTTTATTCACCAAAGCAGAAGAAGCTGGAAAAGGGAATTTCAAATGCCAGTTACAACTCTTTGCCATCTTCTGCAGGACTCTGAAACAATCCTAAATAAGAAGGGAAAGAACTTTTTATCTTTTCTAAACTAAATCTATTGTAGAGCTTTGATATATTTTAACAAGATTATGGTAGAGATTCAAGTTAATTATTTTGTAAATGGATAACCAGTTTGTCCCAAAGCCACACACACACTTAATAACACATTGTATTGGACTAATTCAACCTTTATCCACTGATTTCAGATTCCCATTTTTTCTTTCAGTCATTTCTGATCTCTTTTCTGGTCTTGTATCCAATTTTTTCTCCTCCAGTTTTTCATTCACATTGCAGAAGAATGCTCTTTTAAAAAAGAACATGTAATCATGTTAACCCCTTGTCTAATTGTGTCAGTGAATAAAGTCTTAGAATTAAGCCTACAAATCTTAATGTGGCTCACATACCCCTCCATCCAGCTATGGCCTTCACTCAGACCACCTTGCCACTTGCTCACAAAGCTTCAGTTACTCTTCTGTGGGCAACGTTCTTTCCCCCATGGAATAAAGTTAATTTAGCTAAATATCAATCCATTCCTTAGGAAGTCTTACCTTACTTACCCCACCCAAAATAGGTTAGATTCATCTCTTACATAATCTCAAGGCTCTCTATACTTTTCCTTCAGAGCAGTTATTTACATATCTATATGTAGTTATTTGTGCAATGACTAATTAACTACCTGTTTTCCCTAAAAAACTGTAATTTCAAGAGGACTTCATCTGTCTTAGGAGCTCTGGTAGCGTAGTGCCTAAGGCATTTGACTGCTAACCAGAAGGCTAGTGGTTCAAACCCACCAGCCGCTCCTCGGAAAAAAGGTTGGGCAATCTACTTCCATAGTGATACTGCCTTGGAAACCCAGGGAGGGGTCACTATGAGTCGGGTCCGACTTGACGGCACATAACATAATATCATCTGTCTTGGTGACTATTATTTCTGTAGTACCTGGCCCAGTGTCTGGCACATAGTAAATCTTCACTAAACATAGTGGCTAAGACACTTGCCTGCTAACCAGACAGCTGGCGGTTCAAACCCACCAGCCACTTCTCAGAAGGAAGGTTGGGCAATCCTACTTCCGTAGTGATACTGCCTCGGAAACCCAAGGAGGGGTCGCTATGAGTCGGGGCCAACTCGATGGCACATAACAACAACAACAAATATTTGTTAAATAAATGTAAGAATGTCATTCAATATTTGTTGCATAAATGTAAGAGTGTCTTCACATAACCAGTAGTCTAGCAAGAGGACCTCAACAATTAATTTCAATACAATGTGTTATTAAGTGTGTGTGTGTGTGTGTGTGTGAGAAAGAGAGAGAAAAATCTTGTCATGCAAAAGAGGAAATCAGTATCAGCTCTGATGTGGTTAGCACTAGGTCACCCAGCCCATTAGGGCCCAAGACACTTACTCAGAAGGCGATAAGAAATGAGAGAGCACACATGGTGCCACCAGCAGAGAGGAGTACCCAGACCAAATGGACATTGCTATTTTCTGATGAAGTGACTGCTAAGCTAGGAGCAGAAAGAGGAATAGAAGGTAGTTGGACTAAGGTAGTAGTTGGGGAAAAGGGTATGGTGACAGGAATAGAAGCAGGAATATTCCAGCCCATGAGAAGAGCATGTGCAAAGGCTAACAGTGAGAGAGAGAGAGATGCTTTTCAGAGACCAATCTGATTGGAGCCAGAGATGGAGGAGGTCAAGTGGGCAGGCAAGGTGAAGTGAACCTGGGGAAGTAGGTTCAGGCCAGCCATCTTGTCAACTTAAAGATTTGGACTGCATCCTTTGGCCAGTTGAAGGTCTCAGTAAAGATTTCAGAGGGGTATGACCGCATCCACCTATCAGAAAGATCACTCTGCTAACAGGGCCTATAAGGAAGGCCAAAGAGAATCTAGTCGGTATCACCTATGGGCAGAAGGTTCTAAGGATCTCCAGCAGGTGTAGAGGTTGGGTCTGCCCTGGCCTGGATCTTCTCAGAGAGAGAAGGAAGAAGAGAGTGTGGAGGAACCACCCAGATCTGACTTCTGCTCTCCAACAAGGCTGGTCTGGAAGGACAGAGTCCTGGGTACTAGCAGGTTAAGGTTGTCTGCCTCGGGGTTCAGCTCTTCCCATTCCACTACTATGGCACCCCATAGTCTTCATGAGATAAATTATTGTTGTTCTGTATTTAGTGCAAGAGACTGCACAGGCCCAGAGTGACCTGATCCTTGAGGCCGTGCAGGACAAAGGCAGCATGGAGCAGACCATCCTTGAGATGCAGAAGAGATTTGAAGCTGTAAGTATGGCTTCAGCCCCTTTCCTCAAGTTTATTTTTACCTTGGTCACTAAGACCCTGAGAGACAACTTGAAAGTTGCAAATTCTCAGCCAAGACCAGAAGCCAGCACAGGATGCTTGGTAATGGGCCTGGGTAGAGGATGGCCTCCTCCCCAAGCAAAGTTCTGGCACTGTGGGCCACCATGCTTTCCTGTAGGGTACCCAGCAGGGGCAGGCCTTGGTTTTGTTGGTACATCCTTTGGTTTGTTCACGTTTTATTGTGCATTCTGAGTCATTGCACTGTCTGTCACTCCTCTTTCTCACTGCCTCTCCGCAGAGACAAGCAGAGTTTATAGAAATGAAGTCTAACCTGAAGACCCTTGAAGTCTTAGTTGCCCAACAGAGCAAGGACTTCCAGCAGCTGTGCGAGCAGCTAGGCCAGCTGAATGTACCCAGTGTCCTGGCAGACCTGAAGAAGTTTATCTCCATCCCTCGAGTAAGTGAGCATGTGAAAGACAGCACTTCCCAGACCTCACCAGTGCTAGCCCAGAACCTCAATTTCCCCAGGCAGGAAAAATCATCCTCTGAGGAATCAGTTATGTGGCTGACCCAGCCCCTCCCTACTACATGGGATTACAGTGCAGGCTCCCTGCAGCTCAGAGAGTTGGGTGTCTGGGGCGAGGAAGCAAAGAGTGATGCTCTCGAAGAAGAGGCCATGCTGCCAGCAGCTGGCCCAAGTAAAAGAATCAAGCACGTGCAGGACAAGGAGGTGCAGACTAACTGTGAGCATTGTGCTCTTAGTAAAGCAGGACCTGAGAACCACGACTCCAGCATTCTGGGCCACAAGGTTCCTGGCAATAGGGACCCGGTCTCTCAGGGAGCCTCACGACCCATATCCCTAGATTTGAACAACTTTGCAGCCAGCATTAAGAACTCCTGCCAAGAATATCAAGCCAAAGGTGTATTCTCATGTTATCCATGTGGACAAAGTTTGGTAACGGAACCAAAAGGCAGAATTGTAGAGAAAGGGGAAAAAGGCAAGAAGCAGCAGCCTAGGAAAGCCCACAAAGGTGGCTTCCAATCCAGAAAACGAAAACAAACCCAAAGCAAAACTTGTGCTATCAATTCTAAAAATCAGGGCCCTCAGCCTTCAGTTTCAGGCCCACAAAGGGCCCCCTTGGGGCAGCAGGAATCCTTTCAGCAACCTCTGCGTCTACGGAGTTCCAAGAGCCCTGCAAAGCCAGCCTGGCCTACTCTGAGAGGGGCAGTCATGCCCAGTAAAACAGCAAGGACAGTTCAAGGAAAATTCTTGAAGCTTGGTAGGTGTCCTTCCCAAGACAACAGCCTGCTTTCTTCCAGTAGCTCCCCGGGGGACCACCAGATGAGCTGGTTCAGCAGCCTCAACCTGAGAAGTTCAGAGTCTCCTTTGTGCAAGGGGCCAGGGAAGAATCTGCTCTATGATCTGGCTTTTGATAGCAGTGATGATGGCTTCTGACCAGGTCACAGTGACTTCAGCTGATGGTTTATTGGTCTCAGCTGGAAGAACTCAGTGAAGAACGGTTGGCTAACCAACAGCAGCCTGCTTGAAACCCTTAGGGTCAGGGGCCCTGCTGGATGAGGTCATTGGAGAAGGAGGCAGAGCCGGTGTGCTGTGGGTACCAGGTACCGCCCATGACAAGGGCCCTGTGGGATAAGTCCACCCTTATATATTGGAAGGAAGCGTGTGAAGACAAAGGTGATGTAAGCTGGAGCAGTAGCCTGGTTGTGGGACCTGGGAGGAGGGCAGCTCTGCTTTGTGAAAGGGGGAGTATCTTGTATAGAAGGGCTCTCACAAAGCCGCTGCTGTGGCAACATGGCTTCGGTACACATTTGGTCTTCAGGATGTCGCCTCTGTATCACTGCGCGTCAGGTTTTTTCTTTCTTTCTTTCTTTTATCCAGTCATGCTGTTTGCATTTTTTTGGTCTATGGACACGTAGAGCATACAAAGATGGTCTTTTTTTGAACAGAGAAATGGAGAGTAGGACAGCTGCCAGTGAAAGAGAAGTGATAGGTATCAAACAAAAAAACCCAGAGCACTGCTGTTCACAATCCACACGACTCCATTTTTCTCTCTGGCTGTTTTGTCCAATCCTATTTTTCAGCTACTTTTAAAGCTAATGGCAGTATGTGTGCCTTTATTACTTCTGGGATCAGTGGACTTAGTCTAGGAGACTTTGTCTTTTTCCATATATCTTACTGAAGGTTTTGAATTTTTGTAACATTTATGTGTTTTGTAATGAAAAATAAAGATGTTAATTTTAAAGCCTATTTTTTTTCTTTTATCAAGTTTATTAAACTAATTTCCCATTAAAAAAAAAAAAAAAAGCCAACTCACTTGCCGTCTAGTTGGTTCCGACTCATAGTGACTCCTCCTTGGGTCTCTGAGGCGGTATCTCTATGGAAGTAGATTGCCCAGTCTTCCTTCCGAGGAGTGGCTGGTGGCTGGTGGATTTGAACCACCAGCCTTCTGGTTAGCAATCAAGTGCCTTAGTCACCCAGAGCTAGTGCCTGGAAAATACGGCCCTGGAGACTTAAAACAAATGAGATATATACCATCTTTTTTATTTCCTAGACGTCTCACAAGATGAATTTGAACAAAACACCCTGCTCAAACTGACTTTTGTTTTCTTTTCCTTTATTGTATGAAAATGAAAATTCTCATAGGATGGAAGCCTTCCAAAATTTTCTTATTTCCAAGCCAGTATAGTAAATTACATTGGGCCTCTGAGTGGACCATTATAGAAAGTGATGGCTCTTTATTTCTTCTTATTTTTACATTTTTTATTCTCAGGGGGTATGTATCCCACAAAAGTCTGTAGGAGTTGAATTTGCCTGCTACCCCTTTGGCAGGGCTGCCAGGCACCAGGCTAAGCTGCTCTTTCAGTCTCATTTCCAGAGCAAACTACTCCTGTGGCACCTTAGCCAGGAACTACCTGCAATCACAGGGACCCTCTCACAGGCCAGGGAAGTTCAGACTTGGGTTCTGTCTCAGGCTGCCCTTACTGCTCCTCTCTCCAGCTAGGCCTCACTGCAAGACTGCCCTTCCTGACCTCTGCCAGCCTCCCCTGCTGGTTTTCATTGTTTGTGCTAGGGAGGCATGGGGAGGAAAGAGCCCAGCCAAACAAAGGGTTCCTGAAAGCCCTTCTCAGCCTGCCAGAAGGGCTGACCACACAGGTGGCTATGGAGCTGTTAGCATGAGGCTTGTGGGCCAAAAGGGTCTGGAGCTAGAAATTATTATTTTATGTTGAAAAGTTTAGTATTTAGTCATGTTTTAATTAAAAATTAAGACCCTGCTGAGAGAACTCCATCAACTTTTATGACTGTGACCTTCTCATTGAAGGGACGATTGGTCTGACTTTGAAATGCTAGCACAGGACCCTTTGTTCTTTCATTCTGCTGTGAGTTATGAAATCCTACATTTCTTCTTAAGTATTTGGTATAATGAGGTCAAAGTTCAGAATGATTTCATGTTCCATGAGCTGGGCATTTTTGTAGAATGAGCAGTAAACTTATCTCCCAACAAAAGCTAGGTTAATTAAAATTATACTGTCTGTCTCTGGTGATCATCAGAGAAGGATAGTCTGTTTCTTATTTTAGTCCTAAAGCCTTTTTTTTTTTTATTAGCTACTGTGTTCCTGCCAGATCTGGTGAGCGTGACACAGCCCAGGCACGTCCCTGGAGCATGCAACGTGTGTTGGCTCTTCTGATGCTGTTGGAGCTGTATGTGGCTACACAGGGGCGGATATGGTGGGAGGTCTGTGGGCCTGGGGCCCAGAGAACACCCAGGGACTCCTCCCTCTGATCCAACTCCAGCTATATTCTGAGGAGGGAAATGGAGCTGACTATAGCACCAAATTGTCTTGTCCTTCGAGTATCAAATGTCATCACAAAGAGGCTTTCTTGACTACCCCTCTCTGAAGGAGCTCACCCACTCACTGCCCATCCTCTTTCCTTGTCTTAATTTTCTCACAGCTGCTCCATCTGAGGGAGCGCTGGTGGCTTAGTGCCTAAGGCATTTGACTGCTAACCAGAAGGCTGGCGGCTCCGTCTGAAATCACGTATTACTTTGTATACCTGTGTGTCACTTGCCTTGCTCTCTGGAATGTACATGGCAGAGCAGGAGAGCATCCACCCTGTCCCTGCTGTGTTCCCTACTCCCAGGAGGGTGAGTGTCTGATGCTAGCAGACACTTGATAAATAATTGCTGAGAGCAGGGATTGCTTTCTTATTATTCAAACAGCTCCTTGCAGCCTTGTCCTGAAAGTGGGGCCTTTCTAGCATCCCCTTGCAACGTCCTTTTTTTGTGTTTTGCCTCAGAAACAGCAAAGGGCTCCCAGTGAAGAGTCTCTGGCAAGGTACCCACTTCTGTCTCCCAGGCCAGCTACAGAGCACTCCTCTCTCGCCCAAAGGTCCTAGAAAGCAACATGCTTTCTGTCCTCAAAAAAAAAAAAAAACAGTTGCTTTCTATAAGCATTGGAAGTTTTGAAAAATATTTTTATGCCAGACCTTGGGCGAAAACTCTTCATCAAATCAAGCATTTTCCAGCTGGCCTAGGACAGAGAGTCCTTCCTTAGTAAGACTGAGATCCATTGTCAAATAGATTTCTAGAGTAAGACTTTGATCCCTCTGTAAATATTTAACTAGAACATAAAATATTAACGTTCTCTCACACACTCCAGGGAAAAAGCAAATTGTCAGAGCCTCAGATTGTCTCGAAATGACAGAGCCTTTTCAATAAGGCACAGTGGCTTCCCAAGGCCTCCCCTTGATTGCCTGCCTCTTTCACTTGTCTTCACTGCCATGCTCAATGTCTTGGCCTGCCTGTTCAAAAGCAGGGGGATTAGCTGAACCCTTTTGGCAAATCCTCTTCTTGGGTCGTCTTTGAACGTTAATAGCTCCTAGCCTCCAAGGGTGGATGGTGCTACTAACCTATCAGCACATTCCTGGGCACAGATGGGGCATGGGCCCCAGGGTCTCTCTTTCCTCCTAGTAACCTCAGAGTCTGCACTGGGATTGAAATGGAGGGTCCAGGAAAATGCCAAGGAGCTAGCATGGATAGCCCAGAAAATTATTTTCCTATTTCCCTGCTCCCTGTGAGCAGGTCCCTTGGCAGGGCCTGACCACCACCCTGGAGGGTGGTGGGTCCTCAGGGGCCAGATGCTTTAGGCCTTACAGAACTGTTTCTCAGGAACTCAGTCACTGGTCAGAGACGGTCCATCCCAGGAGGGTCTTTGTGACTGGGCATCCAGCCCCAAGCGTGGAAGAAAGCCTTTGAAATGAAAGGATGTCTTCTGCCTGGGATGGAGACTATAGAGAGCAGGAGTGGGGGTTACCCTAAGATCCAGAGATGAGAAAGCAGGTCCCAGTGTTGCTTGTGCTGGCATGAGCCTCGCAGAGGGAGAGGAGGTGTACCAACCAGAAGTGCCCCTGGAGCCCACCTGACTAGAGTTCAAAGTCTAGACCTAGACCAAGGATGTGAGGAACAGCCCAATCAGGATGGGACTGAGGGCAGGGTCACCATTTCCACCCTCAACCAACACTCTTGAATCATACTTTTGAAGGAATTGTGTGACAGAGCCTTTTCAATTATGACAAATTATGGATAACATTGAGAAGAATGGGAATTCCCGAGGACTTGATTGTACTCATGAGGAATCTGCACCTTGACCAGGAGGCTGTCATTCGAACAGAACAAGGGAACACTAACTACATGGTTTAAAATCAAGAAGGGAGTACGTCAGGGTTGTATCCTTTCTCCACACTTATACAATCTATATGCTGAGCAAATAATCCGAGAAGCTGGACTGTATGAAGAAAAATGTGGTATCAGGATTGGAGGAAGAATCATTAACAACCTGAGATACACAGACGATACAACTTTGCTTGCTGAAAGTGAGGATGACTTAAGGCACCTACTGATGAAGGTTGAAGAATACAGTCTACAGTATGGATTACGTCTCAATATAAAGAAAACAAAAATCCTCACAACTGGACCAATGAGCAGCATCACAATAAATGGAGAGAAGATTGAGGTTGTCAAGGAATTCACGTTGCTTGGTTCTACAATCGATGCCAACGGAAGCAGCAGTCAGGACATTTGACGACGCGTAGCATTGGGGAAGTCAACTGCGAAGGAACTGTTTCAAGTGCTGAGGAGCAAGGATATCTCCTTGAGGACTAAGGTGCGCCTGACACAAGCCATGATATTTCCAATCGCCTCGTATGCATGTGAGAGCTGGACAATGAATAAGGAAGACCGAAGAAGAGTTGATGCTTTTGAGTTGTGGTGCTGGCGAAGAATGCTGAAAGTACCGTGGACTGCTAAAAGAACTAACAGATCTGTCCTGGAGGAAATGCAGCCAGAATGCTCCTTGGAAGCAAGAATGGCCAGACTTCGTCTCACCTATTTTGGTCATGTTGTAAGAAGGGACCATTCCCTGGAGAAGGATGTCATG